ATTAGACAACACAAAGCACTCTGAACTGTCAGGTAAATTATGTTAAAATCACCTGATTGCATCCAGGCTTGATGTTAATATTGCCAGCTGCCGTGAAATCACCCTGAGTCACCCCTGTGAAATGTGTTAAAGAGCAACAAGGAGAGCTGTGTTCGTGTAGCACTAGTCAAGAGACTTTGTCAGAATAATTAAAGCATTATTGCTGCTACAAGAAATGTGCCTATCTCTGGGCCTTGTGGTGGGATATTGTTCAGATTGTCCCAGCCTCACTACCTGGTTTCCTGATACGTTCCCAAAGAAACATTGCACACACCTTCGCTGGCCTTCACTGCACACACCTTCACTGCCCTCACCCAGGTGATTTTCTGAGCAAATGATCTGCAGTCTACCAAACAACAAAAATCAATGTTTTCACTTGATGCTTTCATTTCATTTGCACAAAGGCCCACGTTTCACTACTGACTGATTAAATGTGGTGGTAAAAGGTACAGTCTTGTGGATCTCAATAACATCATCGCATCCTTTTGAGGAGAGAACACTTGCAGGATGGAAGAGTGGATGCATTTAAGAAGCAGCTTTCTGTATTGGGTTTGCATGACAGGGTTTTGTAGCGGTGTGCTACAGGGGTGGCTTCTGTGAAAAGCTGCTAGAAGCATCCCCTATGTCCAATAGACCCCATGCCAGCTGTCTCAAAGACAGACCCACCGCTGGCCAAGGCCGAGCCCATCAGTGATGGTGGTAGCACCTCTGTGTTAACATATTTAAGAGGGGGGAAAAAATTACCGTGCAAGAGACACTGTAGCCAGAGAGAGGAGTGATAATAAGTGAGAGAAACAACTCTGTAGACAGTAATGTCAGTGCAGAAGGAGGGGGAAGGAGTGCTCAAGGCACTGGAGCAGAGATTCCCCTGCAGCCTGTGGTGCAGACTGTGGGTGAGGCAGCTGTGCCCCTGCAGCACATGGAGGTCCATGGTGGAGCAGAGATCCTCCTGCAGCCTGGGGAGGACCCCACGCCAGACCACGTGGATACCCGAAGGAGGCTTTGACCCCATGGGAAGCCTGAAGCAGGCTCCTGGTGGGAAGCCACTGGAGCAGGCTCCTAGCAGGACCTGTGACCCTGTGGAGAGGAGCCCAGGCTGGAGCAGTTTGCTGGCAGGACTTATGACCCCGTGGGGGACCCACACTGGAGCAGTTAATGGAGAACTGCAGCCTGTGGGAAGGACCCATGCTGGAGAAGTTCGTGGAGGACTCTTATGTGGGAGGGACCCCAGGCTGGAGCAGAGGAAGAGAGTGAGGGGTCCTCCCCCTGAGGAGGAAGGAGCAGCAGAGATAATGTGTGATGAACTGACCACAACCCTCATTCCCCTGTGCTGCTGGTGGGGAGGAGGTAGAGAAATCGACAGTGAAGGTTTTGAGCCCAGGAAGAATGGAGGGGTGGGGGGGAAAGTGTTTTTAAAATTTAGTTTTTATTTCTCATTATCCTACTCTGATTTGATTGATAATAAATTAATTTCCCCAAGTCAAGTCTGTTTTGCCCATGATGGTAATTGGTGAGGGATCTCTCCCTGTCCTTACCTCAACCCACAAGCCTTTTGTTATATTTTCTCTCCACTGTCCAGCTGGGGAGGGGAGTGATAGAGTGGCTTTGGTGGGCACCTGGCATCCAGCCAGGGTCAACCCATCACACTTTGCTATAGAGAAGCAGATGCTGAAGAGCAGCTTCAGTCCATGGAAAATAATAGGCTTCTTTTGTTGTTTTTTTTTTTTTTTAAGCCTTTTTAGATCTGGTAAAAGTGAAGACTACAGGATGATTGCAAAGTTTGTAAGAAGTGTCCTTGTAGCCTATAGAGGTGCCTGAGAGCACCTCCAGTGTTAGTCCAGTGAGCAATATGTTTTCTATATGATTCCTTAGTTCTGTGAAGGATAGTACTGCAATCCCACTGCCTACCACCTTCCATCATTCTCTTGTTGCAGGTGAAGCCTATGTAAGTCTGAACTGGCAAGAGATCAAACTGTTCAGCTGATTGCAGGTATATTTAACGTAATCATTTACAGCAGCTCTGATGCTGTATAGCACTATGTGCTATGGGTCAAAATGGATATTTAGAGCAGTGATTCCAGAGTCTGGCTGCCCTCCTATGTACGTAGCTATATTCTAAGATTATGCTATTTTATGTAAACTGCCAGTACTGTGTATAGTATTATGATGTCCTGTTGCCTCTAAGGATTCCCAGTATTGTCTTCTGTTGCAATGAAATTCTGTAAAACAAAGATGAAAAAAATGATGCTGTATTTACAACCAATAGAACATATGAATACTTGCTGTTTGGTAGCATAATGAAACTGCTAACTCAGGGTCTAATTCTGCCATAACAAATAGACTGAAAATACTATTAGTATTGATTAGTAGTTGATAATAATGCAAGGTAGAGCTTATTCTTGACTGAACTTGACTGTACTGCATATATCTGCACAAATTTTTCTATTTATTCTGAAAATAAAGGCACATAGTTTTGCCATGTGTATTCGTAAAATTATGTGCTTAAATATTTTCTTGAAACCAACTTAATCTTTAATATTTCCAAAGCACGCACAGTCCATCGTATGTCCTCCCTCTCTCTCTTCTTCTCCAGAGAGAGAGGGAGAGAAACACATCTTTGTTTGTACTGCACATATATGTATGAAAAATAAAATTCCTCGCTAGCAAGTAAATACAAGAACAATGTTGCTAGCAGCTGTTGAGCTTAAAGCCCAGTTGAGAACACTGCTCTGTTATGAGCTCTCAATGTTCTTCTCAACATCAGTAATCAACATGCCAGGACAATGTATTGTAAACCCAAATGCCCAGGCCAGGAGACCACAAAAGCTCTTCTGTCTTGTGTGAGGGAACTGAAAAGAGGCTTTTACAGTGCTGCAGAACGTGCTGGCAGACTGCGCCGGGTTCAGAGCCCTCAGTGTTCTGGAAGAAGTTTATGTACAAGGAGGGCAAATCTTGTCTAATCTGGGGTTAAGAAGCTACTATAACTGTTATTTTAAAAATTGAGAAGAATCATATGTATGTGCTGAAGACAACCATCAGATAATTCCAGGCTGCTCAGTAGCTGTATGAAGTGCAGTAGCTGAGGAACTGAAAAGGTCTTTGAGCTCATTCCAGCAGGAGAAGGACAGCTCCTTATCTACTCTCACCTATCATTTAAAAACAAACATACACCTATTTTCTTCTATTTTATAGAATAGTCATTTCTACAGTCAATCATTTTTGCAAGCAGCAAGATACAAAGCCGAAGAGTTTGATAACAGCAATGGTAGTTTTTCTAAAAGATGAAATCACAAGCTAGTAAGCAACCAGATCTTTGATTTTCACCTACGTTTGTAACTTTCAAGTTGTTGGAAGGAGTTAAGCCTCCATTGGGTAAAATGGTACCAAAGTTAAAAAAAAAAAAACCCTAACAAAACACTTCTGATTGCATTGTTCATCGAAAAAGAAAGGTACCTACTGGGTTTTTTAGGAAGTTTTGCTAGACATCAGTGGAAGCACTGAGCAACAATATGTCAGAGAGAGGAAGATCAGCTCAGCATATAGAATATTGTTTTTTGTAATTTTATTTTAAATGAAATTACATTCAGATATAGCCCAGCTATATTAGCAGAGATTTAAACAAATGTTTAAAGCTAACAAACTCCTGTAATTAATCTCTTAGCTTCACAATTTGTCACTGATATTGTTTATGAGCTCAGACTAAATTCACTCTTTTGCATTACTCAGATTCAAAATCACAATCATGTTAAAAAAATACAAAAATGTCTAAAATTTCACTTTCCAACCTAACTTGTAAGAATAATAAAACCATTAAAATGCCTTCATTAAAAAGCCACCTTGACATGATTTACAGCTGTACAATTTGTTGTTTAAAACAAGCCATATAGGATAAATATTCAAAGCAGTGCTAAAGATTTGAAGCAGAATTTTTCCCACTGCCCTTATGTAGACTTTTTTGGCTAAACTACAAATAAAAACACTTTGAAAATGTATTCTTAAATTCACCAAGATAAAAAAAAAAAAAATCCAAAATAACTGTGTCTGGGAGGGAAGAGAAAGCCATATTCTGTGGTGCCTGCTCACCCTCCAAATTCCCAAGATGTGGAATGCTACTGAAAGAAGGGGTTTGATGTCCTTGATATGTGACTAAGGCCTGTGTAGAAGTAGAAACATCCTGCACCTGACAAGGTGAGCAGTCTGCATGCTGGAAAAGAACTGAGTACTGCTGAGTAAGGCAACTGAGACAAAGTTTGGCTTAAGTGCAATCTGGTTAAGGCAGAGTAAGTTTTTTTCAAGTTGTTACTATTGCTTCCACTTCAAATCACTAGTGCACTAGAATGTGTTTAAGAGCTTTGCTTAAAAAGACCTGGAGCTGAAAGCTGGTTCAAAGTGATAAATCTAAAGAGATTCATTACAATGAGCTAGACCGTCCTTCAAAAAACCTTTTTCAGCTTCATTTTCTTACAACTCCACCATCCGAAGCTCTAAATGTATGTACTAACAAGACAAACTAACGTGAAGCACAGGCTTCTCAAAATATCCATCCCTTATTTGCCCCCTGCAAGACAAAGTCCCCACTGTGGATCAGGCATCATCTGACATTTTACATTAATGAGTGTGGCAATATTTTGTCCTAGTAAGTAAATCATGTCCAGTCCTACCCTTGCAACAGCTGTAGAATTAGTCCTTTATCAGGTCAAATTCTGCACAAAATTAGGCTGACCTTAATCTGAAGGAATTTCTTTGGCATTAAATTGTATTTTTAAGTGAAGGCAGCATTTGGCCCATTTTAGCACATTAAAATAAACTGATCCACAGCTTCTGTTTGAGTAATTCATAGCTTAAACAACGTATTGGTAGCACTTTCCATATTTACTACATGAAAAGCCCCACTCACCGCATTTGACCATACAATTATCATTCATCCTTTCCAGTGCTACGAACTTCTAGGTTATTCACAGAAATATATCAAAGCTTAGGAAAGTGTAACAACAGATGCGTCATATCACATCTGCTTATGCTTAAGTTGCATAAGCTTATGCTTAAAAATATTAGAAAACAGCTGGGGTCTGGTCATTCTTTGGTTAGAAGCTGAAGCCTCCTTGGATAGATCAGTTCTTCCATTTGTTGGAGTCCCAAGCCAGGAACCAGCCTGTGAATGTCGGGGGTTCGTAACCCTGCTTCACAATTACAATGGGGGTCCCCTTATCTCTGCCAGAAGGATCCGTTTCAATATAGCGTTTGGCTGAAACCGGAGAAGAAATAAAATGTGTAATATATTAGTTCATTCCTTTGGTATAAAAAATGAATTAAAAGCCCTAGTGAAAGAACCCAGGGCTATTATAATACAGTGTTCAATTAAATTATTTCAAAGACAATGAAATGATCAGGTAATTGCTGATTTCTCCCAGCTGCCAGTGAAGGAATTTTCCATGAGGTTAAACCAGAAGGATTGTTGCTCTGATCAGTTTGTTGCCGTACAGCCGGGTTTTGGCTCTTGAACAGGAGAAAGCATTTGCTGGTGCTGTGCAAATGCACAACCTTCATTCCCATTTTTCCTATGTAAAAGCCAGTATAGTTTCCCTTGACATTGCATTGTCATATCACTACATCAGAAACTCAGCTAGGTAAGCCTAGCTGCTTCAGGGAAATATCTGCAAGCATTTTTAGCAAGAACTTTGTGAGAGTGGCTCAGCTATGTGAAATCACACCAGAGATTATGTGATTTTTCAATCAGGTGCACTCCACGTACGTTGTCTTGTTTTGTTCTACAATTGGAATTTCTTCCTCCAAATTTAACTCAGTGAAGGGCAGCAGTATAAGGATTTGAGGATTTGTTGGCACTCCCTTGACTATATACATTATTGTAGGGTACAGCTCTGTAGTTATCTGCATTTAAATTCTTTCTCTTTTCAGTGCAGTTTCTTTTCATGGAGGTCTCCTATCTACTCTTTAAAAAGCTCTGCAGTCTAGTAATGCTATCTTGATCAATTTTACTCTTCATAAACTTACAGATAAGAAAGGTACAATGAATTTTAAAGCACATTTAAAGGAGAAGGTTGTATTCTCCAGGATTAAATCCTAATAAGCTTAATAACCCTTTTAGGCACTGTAAACATAACTAGATTTCTTCTACATGACACTTTTAACTTCTTTAAATACTATTGATGCTACTTAGAATTCTGTCAAATTGATTTGATTTACCAGATTTAACGGATTCCTGTCTCTCAGTTTCATTAGCATCCTTCCCAATCCAGACAAAAACCTGCCAACAGGAGAGAAAGATTTAGCTCCTATGTTGTTATGAGGATGTTGCGTACAGCAGGTGAAGTACAAAATAGTTTATTTTCCACTACAGGAAAAAATATACGCTGTGAAAAGACTGCAGAGATACACAGATCTCACAAACCACAACTGATTTTTTTTCCCTTGCAAGAAACTGTAGTTCTGTTCTCTGAAATCTCACCGCTCTCTTGACACTGGAAGACTGGACCTTTACATACGCTGATGAAAGGAACTGTAATTACCTTTTCCATTAATATCTTTTACAAGTTACCAAGGAAATTGCTCTTTAGGCGTAGGTAAAAACACTGATCAGGACCTATCTCTGGTTTGAGCGCTGCATGCACATCCACAGTTGTGCTCTGTGACTGATGCTACCCAGGGTAATTGCTAGAAAGCCCACTGAGCAACCAACATCCAGAGCCTTGATCTGCAATCATTTCTTTTCTGTCAAGGATCCTTTTGGAAAAATTTCCCAGACTTCTTTCCTTTTTACCTGAAGGTCTGTAAGTCACAACCACTTTCCATCCAGCTCTTCCACCCACCTTCCCCCGTCACTCCTTCCCAGATGGACCTTGGATGTTCCTTCTCATTTCTGAAAACCTCAGACTTTTTTACTTTATAGTTAGGCTGAAGAAGACAAATAAAATGTGGGATCTGTGGCCTCCTCTCCCTTTCCCTCCAAGGGGAGAGGAAGGGTAGAGGGATAGTCAGTGAGAAACAGATGTGCTCTCTGCACCTGGAGTAAGTTTGCCTGTCATTCAAAAAGTTCTCAACATTTTCAGTGAACCTGGGAAAATGATGGGGATTGTTTCTGTCACCCTCTACCCAGTTCTTCTGAAGAAATCTGTGTAAGGCTCTAGTGTTTGTCCCCTTCTCTAGGAAGACTTCTGGGCAGATCTTGTGGCTTCTGAAAACCTTTTATGCAATAGCTGTCTCTCTAGAATTAATACATTTTAGTGATAAAGTCAGGACCATTACTGAGAGCCCTTCAGAACACTGCTGGGGCTTATATTTGAGCCTCCATTGGTTTTAGTGGGAAGTGCCTGCCATGGTCGCATATTATACTTGGAAATTCAATCATGTATATTCACACTAGCACATCTTATAACAAAAAAAAAGAAAAAAAAAAGAAAAAAAAAAAAAGCTCCCTCTGGTATAATTTAAAGAAAACAAAACCTCTTCCATTCTTACAAAGATTATTTTACCTCCCATCTTATGATCTAAGTGGTTAAGAATAAATTATCCTTGTTACCACAAAAAGCAGTGGTCAAGTACACAGCTTACCTCCTCCCAAGTATCCAGCAACATGACATCATCTTCAGCCAAATCATCCTGAGTGAATTCTCCTGGGACCTCCTCAATCTAAAAAGGGATATTATGTGTTTGTTTGTTTTGGTTTTTTTTTTTTTTTTTAATGATTTCTCAAGATATTCTGATTTTGATCAGACCAAAGATTTTTTTAAAGGGATAAGTCTAGAAGCTGGGATGCAATTCCTTTTGCTTCTAAAGGGTCAAGCCCCAAACTGATTTGATGAATGTTTCAAAGGTGTTTCACTGAAAGGAAACAAATTACATAATAGCGTGTCCTATAAAATCAGCTCTTAGTTTGTCAGAATTGATAGGATATCCTCAGGAGAGGCAGAGGTTTACATTGTAATTGTGACTATCATAAGTTGGGGCCGAGGTATGCCAGAAGAAAGGGACAAGGAAATTTCCATAGAGCACCTTGTATCAAGCAAAATAGATCAATCAGCTAATATCCACTGATACATTCATGCAGCTTATATTAATAAGGAAAAGAAACAGTTTTGATTTGCAGTGGGAGAGCTCAGCAAGCTTTCCAGTTACTTGACAATGGGACATTGCAGTTGACTAATCCATTAAGGATTAGTCCCCAAAGGAAAGGCAGACTGCTTGCTTCTTCCAAGGATGTACAGGCAGATAGGAAAGCAGTTTAATGTTATTCTGTATGAGGAGAGATAATAACGTAGCTAGTGGTCATGCCTCTACTTTTAAAGGACTGTCAAGAGTTTGGCTATGCTTGGTCATGGAGGAGTGCTAAAGGGATGGTAAGCAGATGGTGCAAAAGACATTCCTTTTCCCTGCCGTGTGTTATGGTCCCAGAAGCTCAGGGTGATCTGACCTGCCTATTCTGGTGAGCTCTAACAGTGGCGATTCTGTGCCTAGAGGAATGCTATAGGAAAGAGGGGATTTCACAGAATTTGGAGGCAATTTAAAACAAAAGCCAAACAAATGCATAGCTCCCAGCAGACTATTACAGAGAGCTTGGTTCCTATTACTGTATTTCACAGGAGTGTTTTAGGAGCTTGCTAGAAAAATACACTTTATTACTCTCATAAGATTTTTGAATCCTTATTAAAGGATCCTATTTGTTTTATCCCTCTCCAAATGAATGGGCTGTGCCTTAAGTAGACTGCAGAGATGGTAGCCGACTATGTCCCCTACCTAGAAATTGGTGCATCCTTGCCAAATGGTGACACAGCATTGCCCTCCCAGAATACAGTAAGTAATTAAGCTTGAAACACAGGCTTCATACGCAGTGCACAGCTCTGGGTATTTCTGCTAAGGAAATAAGTCTTTCTACCTCCCTGAGCACAGGCCAATACCTTACAGGCATAATTACATGTCCTAAATCTCTGTGGAAAATTTCAGGCTGCAAAGGATTTTTGGCAAGGGACATTTCTTTCCCTCACCACCACTATCAAACACGTAAGGGGCAAGGCACTGACCTGCACTTTCTCAGTGAAATGATAGCAGCCTGACAATGCTCTGCAAGAATACAGTGGCTTTTGACTGGGCAAACACCTTATCTTTTTTTTGCATTTGCAAGACTCTAGTCCCAGGCTGGAGCAGGCTCTGGGTGCAGACTTCTGCAGTGTTAGTTCTTCCATCCATCCGTTGCATTTGGATTGATTTAAAGCACCAAACCTCAATTCTCTAGTTCTTGCCAAGGACGGCTAACTAAGCCAGATCCCCAAATTCATTTAATGTCTGCTGATTCCCCAGGCAAAATATACCAGAAAATATGTAATTAAACAGAAAGGAAAGTATTCCTCATATACTCACAACAAATCTGCCAGTCTTATTAGAACAACCATACAGGCGAGGGGGATGATTTTCATCCTTTGTCAAGAGTTGCGATGAAGTCTGATATTTTTTTTTACCTCCAAGTGCTTTCCAGAATTCCTCTGAAAGACACAATATATAATTTATTCAGCAGTGGATTTAACATTTGATGGTTTAGCTTGTTTGATACTGTTTCAAGAATCCCTCAACAATATCTTCTTTGCTCTCTCAAATATGGGTGCATTTTCTTACAGTTTGTCCTGCAGTTTGTCAAAGTGACAAGATATCACTTGCAGACCTAGACACAGTAATGCACTATGTCTTTCTCCCCTCCTAGGCACTCAGGGTAAAGAAAGGACCACATCCCTCTGCAGCTCTTGCTGGTGTTCTGCAGACTTCCAGGGCATCGTACTGCTTGTGCATCAGCCAGTTCTGGATAGATCTCCCTGGTAAAATGTCAGGTTGGATTTTCAAAGGGAGAGAGTGAGCATATCCTTCTGCCTACTAAAATATATGATCACAAAAAACATTTAGGCTGTATTTCCATGCAGTGCTGTGTATTCTCAGCAGCCTATTAGCAACCACATGGCCTCATACTAACCTGGTTCCTGGCCTTCATTAATCTTAGCAGTCTGGCATTTAAGAACACTGGCAATGTATTGAGCTCCTTGTTCCTCTTCTTTGTTTGCTCCTTTTCCTACCCAGGTGTAGCCAGAGTTGTTTGGCAGTTTCAGAACAAAGACATCGTTGGAGTTTAGTGACATTGCATCAACATCAACCTAGATCAAGAAAGAAATAGTTTTATTCACCATATTTTCAAACCATGTGATCACAATTTTACATGTTTATATGAAACATGTAGACAGAAGTTAATGAGCTATACTTTTTTTTCTTACATTTTTTCCTAGATTTAAACTGATAGATACTTAGAAAAGAACAAAACTTGAGATGGGGAACTGACTTGAAGGGAAAAACTTAGGAATGTTTGGCAGTAGGAAAGACTATTTCATAAACGGTTGCTGATTTCTCGTCTATTCTTTGTCAGCTGAGTGTTCACTACACATTTTATTCCAGTTTTGCCTGAACGATGTAGATTGGTTGCAGCCAGTTATGGCATATGCTCCTTGATGTATTAAATAGGTTGGTCACACAGAGCAGTGGGTTTGATTTGGAGTTCTTTTTTTTCCTACCAGATGTGACCACACAACAAGATTAGTTGGAGAGGCTCATGGTGGCTATTCCATTTCCCATGGGGAACAGTTGGTTTACTTAGCAGGTGACTTTACCTCTGCAATCCTGGTAATGGCTGCCAGGTTCCTGCGGATTTGGAAGAGTCGCATGGGTGGAGCAGGTTTCTGACCTTCCTTCTTGGAAGTCCCATCCTTGTAGACAATAAGCGGTTTGGTTTTGAACAAGCTCAGTAAATGTGCGGGCTCTTTGCCTTGGCTGACTCGGATCTGTACATACGTAAAGAAATGCAATAAAAGAAACAAAAGGACACAAATTGTTATGTTTGGTCTTTGTTGAATAGCAATAGGGGATGTTAGCCAATAATGCTAAGTATGTTACCAAGAATGAGAAGTGGCAAGCTGAGAAGATCTAAAAATATAGTTCCAGACACATTAAAGTTAGAGCGTTTGTGAGATTTTTTGTCAATCATGCTGACACAAAGACAAGATTCAAATATCTAACATAATATCTATCTGATTAAAATGGCTGCTATCTACTGTAATAAGAAAATCACTCTTTTTCAAAAGAACTGTCATTTCATAGAGTTTTATAGAGTTCCTTAATTCCCCTGAAAAACTATCTTGGAAGTTCAGGTGCCCTGTATTTAAGCAGAAGAGGATGGTTATTCATCCTGTTCATTATTTCTATGTGTATTTTACCTGCAAGAGGATGAAAAAGATGAGCATAAATTTATGTTGCAGAGGATAACATGGATGACAAAAATGCACTTCCCTTACAGGTGCAAAAGGTGATATTGCAACCTCAAAAAACCATCGAGCTATGAAGAACGCTATTTTTAGGTTAATGTATCATAAAAGTTATTTGTATACAGCCTTTTGTTCTTCCTCTGTAACAGTGTCACCCGCCAAGGTGGAGGGATGCGACTTTCACTCCCGGAAAGAAAGGGCAGGAGAGGGACCGAAGCGTGCTGCGAAGCCAGCGGAGGAGAAGCGGGGCGCTGGGGCCGGGCTGCCCGGGAGGGCGGCTGCAGCCGGGCAGGG